TACAAATGTTTAGCTCAGCAAACATTATAAGCTATTACTTTTAATGAAAGAAAGCCTATTGACCATCATCAGTCAATTCAGTTGTGAAAGGAAGTCAAAACTATCAGACAAATTAAAAAGATTGTTAAAAAGGCACTGAGGAACTTTGATCTGGTTCAAGAAAGAGCGGAAAATTTTTAAATTTTTAAAAGTTCCTCCTCAGCAATGCAGAGCCTGTTAGTAATTACCCATTGTGTTATCAGCACAGTGATTAACTAAACCTTTTGAGGGTAATGGGCACTTCAGTGAAAACCAAAGGCTAGTGTTGACAGAGTGCCAGAGGCTTTTAATTTCCTTATAGCACATTAAAACCCAGTCCGTCTTTGCCACATTTTAACCTTGTTTAGCATAAATTGTTGCACTTTAAATTCATTGTCTTACATGGTCCAGTGGAGATCACATTAAGAAGTGTCATGCAGTATTCCCATGACCAAAACTTTTTAATCCCTCCTCCCCTTACAGCATACAAAAATGTAGTTATCGATGACTACCTGTCTCCCATTCTTTTAAAAATTATTCTGAATCATTTCACATTGGATATTCAGAAACTATAAAGTTTCAAGGAAACCTTGATAGAAGTAAAGACAGTTATCTTGCATGAACTTCCTATGCCTTTATTTATAAATGCCAGCTGACATACATTTTCAAAGCCAGTGAAGCTGATCTTGACTTCTAAGTTCATTTACGTAATAGTTTCACATCTACATGAACATATCAAAACTAATGATAGATATCATTAATAGCATGACAGACACAGGCATTGGTTTATCCAGCAACCATTTGCATATTGGTCCCATACGTGCCTTCTTTGCAAGAATAACTTGCCAGCTATACGTCTCCCCAACCCCTGTCCCTCTGCATTTCTTCCTGTCATGTCATAGGGAGGTGACCCAATCTAGCTAATGAAATACGTCAGGGAGAGAGTCAGGGGAATCTGAGAAATCTGATGTCTCTCTGATAGATAAATGGCAGAAGACACTTCTCCTTATCAAATGTTGTTGGCCTCTATAAGATGCCTGCAACCGCAACAGCCATCTTGCCGCCACGACCTGCCAAACCTAAGCATCAAGCCTATGAGCTGAGGTTAGAAAAAGTCAGGGTCTTTGAAGACTTTGCTAAAACCACCCTGGGTCTGCCCACTTTCAGGCTTCTGGCTGGTTAGCCTTTGATTGCTTGCATCCCAATACCTCTAATCTGATTAAAAAGAAGGTAGTGTATTACATCCACATGTAACTCAGTTTTTACCTTTGATATGCCCTGAGAAGTCAACGATACAAGACAGAAGAGATAGGTGAGACGGAGGGTGGTGAAGAATCGGAGTAAAGGGTAAGAATAGAGAGGTCTTCCCAGGGCACTCACATCAGGCCTGGCTGGGCTCCTCTGCAGCTGAGAAGCTGCCTCTGCAGGGGTCCTACAGGCCTTTCTGCCTGGGGATGCCGACCTATGGCCTGCTACTTCTCAGGAAAGCTGCCAAAAAGTAACCATCTCTGCATTAATGTTCAAAGGAAAAATAGCACATTTCCTTATGTTTTCTACATCCTTTGTTAAAGATGATCATGAATTGGATTCATTGAAATATGATCTACTTTAATTAAAGCCAGTGACATTGAGTAAATTAGAACGTAATTGCACTTTCCATGAATTTCACACAGCTTGCATTTTACCAAAAGAAACCCAGTTTCAGTCAACGCTTGTGTGCTGATACCTGCAATCAAAGCCTTATTAAACTAAACAAATCATTGCCTTCATGGAAGTTAAAGAAGCATAAATACAAGGCTGATTCACAAAGTTTCTAATTTCTGCTATTTGGAAAGGCAGAGTTTGGAAACAGCTATTTGGAAAGGAAAACTTTCTTTCAAGGAAAATGTAAAGCCTGGACTTCCTCCATTCCAATGACGATGTGCCCTAGAAGGCTTTGGTCTTCCTGTATGGCTGTTTTCTTCCCCCATTTCTATTTTGAATAAAGTGATATCATTGCAAGAGTGTAGACGTTTTACAAAAATGTTCAGGTAAAAGGAAAATCCTAAATTTGAGATTTGATCATCAAAAGAATATCAATTTTAACACGTGTTTTTCAAAACAAGGAACACAGATAAAAATCCAAGCCACATGTGGATGATAGGTAACTGCCTTGGGGGGGGTGCGTATCTTGGTTAAGAATTTGGGCTCTTAGCAACTGTGCCAGTATCCTCGCTTTCCATGTACATGCTGTGTTACAGCCTTTCCGTATATCACCCTATCTCTAAAATAAGGGTGAAGAAAAATGATAGTCACCTCATAGGGTTATTGTTAGGATTAAACTATATATATTAAATGATGGTAATATGATCAGTCTTGTTTTCAGGGTCAGAGGCAAGATAACAGTCAAGCACTAATATTAATATAACACCCAAACTATGTGTTGTAAGCTGAACTCTTCTTTGAGCATTTTGGTAGAGTGAAGTGCACTGATTGGAGGCTGCCACCAGCATGATCTGCACTGCCTATTCAACCCCCCAGCACACCAACTAGTCTCACTGCTTTTCAATGCCCCAGATGGTACTCTTACCTCCAGCCAACTGGCCTGGAAAAGCCAGCTGTGACTTCGCAGGGGGTTGGGGCATGAAGCTTTTCACAAATCAGCAGAAATCCACCTACATCAAAAGATCAGTGCCAGCTCAGCCAGAATTGTGCATTTCAGCAAGTCATTTTTGGAATCAGTTGCTGGGGACACACTGTATACACACACACACACACACACACACACACACACATTCTCACACACAGGAACCATCTATGCTGAGTAAAATATAATTGAAAGAAACCTAAATGAGGACTCAAAAAAAGCCAGGGAAACTCTAGGTAGGCGGGTCAGTGAGACCATCCATATACATGTAGAATTTACAAAAACTATATGCCCTTGTGGTCAAATAAAAGCATTTTTATTGGAAATCCTCTATTAAAGAAATACAGTCTGAGTCTTGTACGTATTGTTTTCTATTTCCTTCTCTCCACTTGTGCACTAAAAACAGGCCGTCTGTCTTGCTTAAAAGTCCAACATAAAGATACTTCTTTAGCTTCTACAGACTCTTACAGAAAGGAATTAAACAGCTTGTGAGTATCTCGACTACTGACACCTTCCTCATGGAAATGCACCCTTGAAATTGAGCCATATTTTGAGAAGAAAAGTTTAATTTTTTTCTCCCCATCCCCAGAACTTCCAAGTGTGTCCATGTATCTCTGGCCTTATGCTAACACATGAATAAGTTAGCCGAAGTACTTTTGCACAGATGCACACACATTTTCTTCTATTTTCCCTTCTCTGGGATTGGATTAGGCATGTATTAATGCTTTCCACAGTTGCATTTACACACCTTGTCTCTCCTGAACTCAACAAGAAAACTTATTTGATGGGCCTGTCAAGCTCACCCTCTCCTCACAAGAATGGAGCATCTTCCCTGAGTATATTCCCCAAGTAGCTGTTATCTCAATCACCCAAGTAGAAACCTGGCTGTCACCCTTAAATATCTAAACACATTGTCACCCAAGGGTGCTCGCTTCTCTATTTCTAATGCCTTACCTTATCCTAAGTTCTCATAACCTCTAGGCTATGTCAGTAGCTTGTAGATTCATCTCACTTCTGCCAGTGTTAACATACACATTCACACACACACATACACAGACCCATGTATATGCATATGCACGCAAACGTCTACACAACATTGCACACTTTGGTAACTCCTCCACTCTGTTCAAAGAGAGCCATCTTTCTAAATTCTAAAATCTAATTGTGTCATTCTGGTTTTTAGCTTTAGAGCGGCTGTTATTGTAAAAACTATGAATGAATCCTCTATACTGACCATGTAACAAACTTGAACACCTAACAGCCAGACGTAGCCCATACTCTAAAAACATAGTGAACTGTGGCCCACAGGTCAAATCTATCCCACAACCTGTATTTGTTACTCACGTTTTATTGGAACACAGCTATACCCGTTTGTTTATGTAGTAGCTGTGGCTGCTTTTGTGCTACAATGATAGTGTTGAAGAACAGCAACAGAGATTGTGTGTAGCCCACAGCCCACAATATTTACTGACTGACATTTATGGAAAAAAACAAATTTATTAAACTTGATTCTATACCATAAGACATTCTTTACAATATGTCTAATATATATGTTGATATCTGAATATGTGACAGCCCCTATTTCGGGCAGATTGATATCCTATTTCCTATCCATAGGGATGGAGAAACAAAGGCATGGAGAGGTTATCTGTCCAAATACATTTTACAGCAATGAAGTGAGGACCCAAACCCTGGTCAGTAGGTTTCAGAACTCTTTCCTTAACTGCCGTAATTGCCCTCATCTGTTTTCATGTCTCCCCAATAATCTAGAACTATTTTCAATTCCCAGAACCTTGCCCTTCCACGTGGCTGTGCTTGACACACACTGTTCTCTCTTGAAATAGCACCCTACCCAGGACACAACATCCTGCAAGCTATATGTATGCCCTCCTTCTGTTCCAAGTCTTTAGTGCACACCATGCTATTCATGAGCAGCAGCCTCTCCCTTCCTCCCTTCCCTCTCTCTCTCTCTCTCTCTTGTTACCATGCTTTAAAATTGTCATCTTGCTTTTACTGACACAATTAATTTTGATATTTTCTATTCTAGCCTTTAGGGAATGAAGACAATGGTCCTAAAGATCTTTTTAAAATTCTCAGCTCCTTGACAGCCCAATCTTCAGAAGATAGAGCGCACTGTCTGCCTCCATTTCTTCAAGTGTCAGGTAGATAATGTCTTCTTCTAGGGTTAGTTCCCACTCTTGCAACCAATTATCCTAAGTGTGTACCATGTCTGTTAAAATAGTCTCACAGCACACAGAATCACATCTTGCAAATGCGGGTACTCATTTGCACAGTGAATGAATGAATGATTCTTAGGCCAATGAGGACTGGCCCACACAGCAAGAGAAGGCCTTGATGGAAATAGAAACAGCACTAAAACTGGCAGCTCACAAAGCGTGAAGCCTGAGTCAGGCCTCAGCTCTTGCTGCATTATCTAACAAATCGTGTGTGTAAGTATCACTGGCCCCCAGACACCCAGTACTACCTCGAACGCTGATCTCATTACATTGGCTGCTTATTGCCTTCACTTTTGCAGCCTGCTCTGGAAGAAGTGGATCCTTTCCTGAGATGTAAACACAGCTTCCGATAATGCCAACCTTACAAGGTCAGTCTGCTCTCAGAAGTCCACGGGTCAGCCACAGAGCTCAGATACACATTTCCTCATCAAGGTTTCTTGGAGTAAGATGAAGATACAAACTGATGTTTCTGATGGAAACCATGGAATAAAAACCATGCTGTTTGCGAGGATATCTTCAGACACCTTGTCAAGCTGAAGTCATAGCAGAGTGGTATCTGGCCCTCCCAAAAATCTCAGCCACCCTTTGAGAAGGTAGGTTAGAAAATGCAATTCTGTGGGAAAGTGTGGTTATGGGGATAGGAGCCCAGGACAATGCAACTTCTGTCTGGACTCCTGAACTTGTATGTGAACCTCAGCAAGCCTGCCTGTTCCCCTAACTGGACACTGCATGTGAACATTTGCTGCTTCTTTATTTTTCTGTTTCTACTCCAAATACGAAAAGTCTTTTGGTGTCAGATAAGTAGAGGATGTGGCCAGTGGGTATGGCCACTGGGCTGGCACACAGATCCTGGGTGAAAAGCTTAGAATAGATAGAGAAAATTTACTATCTGCAAATCTAGCAAAACCTATGAATTTGATACTGTGTTTTCATGTTTTAAAAATGAATATTTTCTTTACAAAAGAAATGTCCCAGGGTTGTTTTTTTTTATGTATTTGAATAAAGCTCTAGATTTGATATCCTGAAATTACAATACTTTCCCCATTCATAGTTTTCTCATGCAAGAACCTAACTGATTCCTGTCACATAAAAGAGGGTACATCTGAGTTTTTAAGCAACACAAGTTACCAGATATTTTTCATCTTCTGTGAGGACTAAGGAAGAAGAGAGGTATACCCAGAAGAGAGAAAAACAATTTTCGTTATTTTGAAGATGGAATTTTCTCTGTGTTCAAATTATTAAGCTCTCAAATCTTCTCTCGGTGCCCATCAGAAAAGGGGCACCCAAAACATGTAAAGTCTTCAAGTGTTTCTCATCATAAAATGGTATGAAACATACTTTCACACCATAAAATGGTGAGAAACACTTGAAGAGTTTGCCCTAAAAAACAAAATTCTTTTAAGTAGATTGAATAAAGAGATGGCCATAGGGGCGAAGGAATTGCCTAGATAAATAATAAAATATTCTTCAGCTTTGTTATTTCAGAATCATGTACAATATCCAGAATTTATATTTCAGAATCTTATGAATGCTTTTGTCATATTTTCTTCCACCTTACCAGATAGTACATGCATATTTATGATACACTGGTATTTAAATATCTTTTAAAAAACCCACCCTTGTCCATGAGAAATCAATAATTAAATGCAAGGGTCCACATACTTCTTCTGTAAGGGGCCAGATAAGACATATTTTTTGGCTTATATGCCAGATGGTTTCTGTCACAACTACTCAACCCTGCCACTATAGTGCAAAAGCAGCCATAAACAATAAGTAAACAAATGAGTGTGGCTGTGTTCCAATAAAACTTTATTTACTAAAACAGGTGGTGGGCCAGATTTGGCCCACTAGCTGTAGCTTGCTGATTCCCGATCCGAAAGAATGACTCCCAATCTATGGGCTACTCTCATGTCGGATCTGCAATTATTAGAAGAGAAAATTCAAATCCATATGCACACCAAGGACTGTTTACTGAATAAAAATAACTTGTGTACACCTGTACTGCTCTGTCCTCAATGTACGTCAATACCATTGCAACTAACACATTTAAAAATAGCTTTGTTTGCCACTGGTTATCAGTCATTAGAAGTTAAATGTACAGTTATTCCCACATGAGGATCCACTGAAAGTTTCACAGTATCAAATCATATTTATACCCCAAAAGGTGACATCTCCAGATTTTCACTTGCAGTTCATTTACTTCCTGCTTTTCTCTGACTTTTCTTGTGTTTCCTCTTGGGTAAAATGTGGTACCTTCCTCGCCCCAGCAATATGCCTGAAGAGGTTCCCACCTCTCTGTAAAGCACATCCCAACACAAGCGGATGACAGCCACATGGCGCTGGCTGATAGATGGCATTGGCTAATCATTGCACCAGCCAGCCTTTATGAAACTCATACGTAAGATACTGCTCCAGTCGCAGTCACAGCTGGCTCCTGATTAGCTCTCTAATGGGGGTAGCACTGAGGCAGAAAATCCCAAACAATAAGTGGTCCAAATATAATTTATATTTGGCTCAGCAAATGACCTTATTTTGTATCCGTTTTACCTTCATAATTATGTTTTCCTTAGACTAATACAATCTGTTGGCACACACCATCTGACATCAGAACGGGGTGTGCAAAAACGCAGGTAGGTGGCAAAGAGAAGCTGGCAAGGATAAAAATTTTGCTGTGGATACTTGAACAAAAATAATAACAACTAACAGAGAGAAACTTGACTATACATCATTCAAAGGGTCACAAAATCAAGCAGGAATTGACTTTAAAGTTCATCTGCTCTGAATGTGACAACGATGGATTAAATCGTTTATCACAGATTACTCATCTAGAAGGTATAAAATAATATTTATAATGATGAAGACAATACTGGTGATGAGGGAAACCTGTAAAGCCTTTTTCTGAGCAAATTAGCCAAATCATACCCCCATCACAGTACATCACAGCAATCAGTAAATCTTTTTCTATGAAGGGTCAAATAGTAATATAAAATAGTAAATATTTTTTATGATTTCTGTGCATATGCTCAATTCTGTCACTGAATTAGAGTATTTGTGTTCTAACAAAAATGTAAGTATGAATATCAAAATTTAAATTTAATATAATTTCACATATCAAGAGATCTTTCTTTTTTCCATTTTAGTCATTTAAAAATGTAAATACCAATCCCTGCCCCAGGTCAGTACAAAAACAGGCAGCCAGCCAGATGCGGCCCCACCCCTATTCTATCGCATTGCCCTTTCTTACTTTAAGTCCTTATTATTATTTGAAACAATATTGTACATTTCTAATTGTTTATATTGTATCTACCTTCATTTAAATATCAGTTCTTCAAGAACAGGGACCATATGCATCTCTTTCAACTAGGTATCATCAGTGCCTAAAACAGTACCTGTGACAGATAGATCTTAATAATATTCATTGAATACCCAAATGAATGACCAAATATTATTATTAGCAGTATAGTGATATGAATTTGCCACTAGCAAACTTTAAAACACCTCTACATCAAAATATATTTTCAGGCCAAGCACAGTGGCTCATGCCTATAATCTCAGCTTTGGGAGGCTGAGACAGGAAGATCACTTGAGTCCAGGAGTTTGAGATCAGTTTGGGAAACATAATGTGAGCCTATCTCTACAAAAAGTATAACCGTTAGCCTAGCATGGTGGTGCATGCCTGTGGTTTCAGCTATGTGGGAGGCTGAGGCAGGAGGATCTCTTGAGCCCAGGAGTTTGAGGCTGCAGTGAGCCAGAATCATGCCACTGAACTCTAGCCTGGGCAACAGAAGCTAGATCTTGCCTCAAAAAAAAAAAAAAAAAATTACCTTAACATCATGACCTTGATAGGTAAAGGGAAGAGGTTATTTTCCACATTCTGTATGTGAGTAAATGCAGAGATATGAAGTGACTGGCCAGAGAGGACAGCTGTTGATGTGCAGGACTTGCATTGGAATGTGGGTTTCTTGCCATATCCAGGCATCTATACACTGCAGCAAACCGATTTCTCATGTAGTCATAGCCCAGGCAGGCACCCTTGCCCACAGGACAGTGTTGTCTAAGCACTTTAAATGTGAGATGCTGAATAATAAAACAGAATTTAGAAGATTTTAAAATTGTCCTTGAGATAGTTTGGCTGGGTCTCCACCCAAATCTCATCTTGAACTGTAGTACCCAGAATCTCCAAACATTGCAGAAGGGACTCGGTGGGAGATAATTGAATCATGGGGTCGGTTACCCCCATGCCGCTGTTCTTGTGACAGTGAGTTCTCACAAGATCTGATGGTTTCATATGGGACTTTTCCCTCTTTGCTCAGCACTTCTCCTTCCTGCCACGAGGGAAGAAGAACATGTTTCCTTCCCCTTCCACCATGATCATAAGTTTCCTGAGGCCTCCCTAGTGATGCTGAACTGTGAGTCAATTAAACCTCTTTCCTTTATACATTACCTAGTCTTGGGTATGTCTTTATTAGCAGGATGAAAACGGGCTAATACAATCCTCCACTAATAAGTTGCAACCAAAGTTTCATCTCTGGGGTCTCTGGGTTCCAGAGAGTTTCTAAGATGTTTCAGTTAATATCCACCAAGTTCCAATCAACTTTCCACGCTACTACAGTGGTGTCACTTCCACATAGGGGAAGATTTAGAAATTCCAAAGATGTAAGGTTGGATGGTAAGTCCTGATGCTGAGCCTCCAAGCAGCTATGGGTCCACACGGCCCACATCAGTACTTTCTCTCTTACCTGCACTATGAGAAAGGACAGCTAAACTCTACAGGCAATAAACAAAACCCAGATGACTCATGAACTGCTCCCTGCTGTTCTTTTTAGCTAATTAATTATCATAGCATTTATTGAGCATCCTCAGAGGGCTGATCCTTATGCCGTATATACTGTGGACTAATGGATATGTGGGAAATAATATGGACTTTGAAATGAGGAAGATCAGAGTTCAAATCACTGCTCTTTGATGATCAGCCACATACATGAACAAATTACCCTACATTTTAACCTCTAAAATAAGGACACAATTCACAACTTTATAATTATTAACAAAATAAAGCAAGATAACATACTGCCCAGCCCAGTTCCTGGCAACCTAATAGATATTCAGTCAATGATCGTTTCCTCTAGACCTCAAGCTATGCGTCCTTTAGTGAAGAACAAGATAACTCCCAGTTTCTGACTGGGCAGTTGGAACTAGTGGGTAGCTCTTTCCCTATTGAATATGGCACCTTCATGTGTATTAACAAAGTACGCTGCTTCAAGGCACTCTCCTATTGTATGCTGGAATGATGTAGTGATCACTATACAGATTTTCAATGACAACACTGTGAATGAGACCCTACAGTAGTGCAGTACACACACAATCAACCATAAAAAGCAGCTCTTATCAAAATGGACACTGTATTAATTCAGATAAAAGAAGGTTAGACTAGTCAACAACAGTCACATTGACAACCACGGCTTGAGTTTGATTTTAAGATGATGAGAACTGGTGGAGCAAGTAAAATAAGCATTTAGCGAGCACCATGGGTGGGAAGCCAGGAGAGCCCTTGAGTTGGCCAGCCCTTGAGTTCTGACTCAGTTCTCAGAAGAGCTCCCCATGAATAGTCCCATATTGGGTAATTTGATTGAAGAGCCACACACAGACCAACTCCACATACAGATGAGAGCATGTGTTTCCATGCCAAACAGAAGGTTTTTAAGAAGCAGAGAACATAATGCTGTACTTGGCCATTTTCTAGAATTCAGAATACCAAACATTTTGGAAGTATACCCCCCAGTGACAATGCAGTGCTGGCATGCAGATCAGAGGCTCTGTATGACAGAGGGGATCCTGGAAGTCAGTAAGTTTGTTCTTTTTTTTCATTTTTTTGAGACTGAGTCTTGCTCTGTCACTAGGCTGGAGTGCAGTGGTGCAACCTCCGTTTCCTGGGTTCAAGCCATTCCCCTGCCTCAGCCTCCAGAGTAGCTAGGACTACAGGTGCACACCACCAGGCCCAGCTAATTTTTTTTTTTTTTTTTGTATTTTAGTAGAGACAGGATTTCACCATGTTGGCAGGAGGTTTTTGATCTCCTGACCTTGTGATCCACCTTGGCCTCCCAAAGTGCTGGGATTACTGGTGTGAGCCACAGCGCCGGGCCCAATAATTTTTTTCTTAAAGCTTCTTTCAATATGACAGGGCAAATAAAACACCCTGCACATTGAACAATCCTAAAACTGGGACTCACTTGGACTTTATCATCATCAAAACCAGCATGTTTACTTTACTGACCAGGGTCAGTAGGTGAAGGCAGCTTTTCAAAGGGAAGGATGTAATGAAGTATGTCAGATAATTCCTTTTAAGGGGTCACACAGGAATTCCTAAGCCCAAGTTGTTTGCTAACCAAAGAACTGGTTTATGTTTTGTTTCTGTGAAAATCTACACCCTTGGGAGCAGTATCTTTGTGTTAACATCTCCTAAGTGTGTAAACAAAATCACAGGAACCCGTGATTTCAAGGAAACACGGAGTAGATGAGTGTAGGATTTGACGAGATCGGATCCCATTTTGAGGTGTCTTTCTGCCATAAACCACCTGACGATCTTGGGAATGCTACATGCCATCCCTAAAGTGAGTAAAATCAGCAAAATGGGAGACAATATTTTTTCTGCAGACTACCTCATCTAGAATGTTCAAATTGTAGTCAGAGGAAGGCAGATCAATTTTATCACATTAGTAAAACCTGATGAAACAATATTTGCCTGGGATGTAGGGTTGAGAAGGATCCTGAGTCAAGGGGGATGGAGGAGAGGCATGTGCCAGGCATGGGGGACAGAGGGTGGCAGCACAGCTATTTGCCATCACTGTCATTGAGAGTGGACTTCTCTTGAGTCAGTTTGCCAAGGGAATAGGGTAGGGGCAAAACAGTATTTTACTGGGTGTTCTGGTTAATGTGGGTCCTGATGTTTGTTTCTTTGTTTATTTTTAAGATGGAGTTTCACTCTTGTTGCCCAAGCTGGCGTGCAATGGCATGATCTCAGCTCACTGCAATATCCACCTCCTGGGTTCAAGCAATTATCCTGCCTCAGCCTCCCAAGTAGCTGGGATTACAGGCATGAGTCACCACACACGGCTAATTTTGTATTTTTAGTAGAGACAAGGTTTCTCTATGTTGGTCAGGCTGGTCTTGAACTCCCAACCTCAGGTGATCCTCCTGCCTTGGCCTCTCAAAATGCTGGGATTATAGGCGTGAGCCACTGCACCTGGCCTGGGTCCTTATATTTAAACACTAGCCTATACTCACATATTTGCTGCATGAGGAACAAAACTGTTTCCCACGTGATGGCCTTCTTAGGAAGATCAGTGGAGACCACCTTCCTCAGGGCGCCAGAGCCATGGCTACCCAAGGCTCCTCCCCTCTGGGGTCCTCATATTTGATATTCTACTACTAGATGTTTCATTCCTTTGGTTTTTTACTCTCCTTGATTCTCATTAAAATGAAAAGTCTTCTGGGAGGAGTAACACATTCAACCAAGAAGCATAAACCTTATCGAATGTCCCTTTTCTTCTATCAGGACTTGCAAGGCAACGGGTCTGCTAGGTGACAGCGATGTAGGAGTTTTTCTCCACCCCTTCATCAGACCTGTGACAGGGGTACCAGCTTACTCAGCCCACTGTACTCAACCTCTTGCTGGAGGAAGCACCCAAGCAAGCAAGTTCAGAATCTGCCCAGCCGCTTTGGGATCTAGCAGGAGCCAGCTCCATGCAGGCTCCATGGCGGTGCCCAGGTGGGGTGCCTGCAACCCCCAAAGCCCGAGAAGGTGTGTTACAATGCTCTATTAGCACTGCCATCCATGGACAGCAGTGTGTTATCAGCTCAATGGGGTGTCCTGTGGGGTGGCTGCCCTCTACCGGCAAGGACAATGGGCCAGTGTGACAGCCTTTTTTGGGTACCCACACTCAGTGAGTCCCAAGCTCTGTTCAGCATCCAAAAAGAATGAGGTTGCCCAGACACGCAAAGGATGGTGAAGGCAGAGAACTTTATTAAGCGATGGAAATGGCTCTCAGCAGAGAGGGGAGCTGGAGAGGAGACAGAACGGGCAGGTAATCTTCCCTGAAGTCCGAACATCTCTGACTGGCTCTTCTCCAATATTAAGCCATCTCTCCTCCTAAGGCCAGCCATCCCTCTGACATCAAGTTCCCTCTCTACAGTTAAGCTGTTTCTCTTTTTCCTGAGTCTGCAGTCTTTATAGGCAAAAGATGGGGAACAGGGCAAGCCATAGGTAGTTTTAGAAAAGGCAACAATTGGTAAAATGACATTATTTAGAAAGAAACAATCAGGAGAGAGTAGGCACACAGGGACAGAAGTCCGCACTTCGGGCCATGGGTTTCATGCTTTTCAGCTGGAAGGTGGGACTTCACCAGGGACCTTCCCTGTCTGCCTAGAGTTTCTCTGCTTCCTGTCTCTATCAACAGAGCCTGTTGGGAGTGATGTGTGGTCAGAAAGGATAAACAGTAATGACCCACAACTTAGCGGAAGGTGAGTCTCCTAGGCTAGTGCTCAATACCATGCTCAGCACAGTTCTCACACCAGTACCTGCTCAAATAGGGAATGAGAAGTAACTTTTCCCTGCCGGGGCCCCCGAAGAATAAGCATTGTGTGTCCCACTTCAGTACCGAGACTCCTGCTGGAATGTGTGGGACAAGCTGACAGTGAATCTCCTGGCCTCATCTTACTCCCGGCGCCTCTCCTGGAGTTCCCTCCTGGAGAACCTCAGCAGCATTAATAATCTGGAATTTCAAGCACCTGCCAGTGAATGGCAGACTCCAGAATTTCCTAAGAATTGTTCATCTGAGAACGTGGGGATTAAAGGTGGAGGTGCTTAGAATGTATGAGGCTTTAGAATGTGCAGTCAGGGGGCGCCTCTTACAGAGATCAAAGGGTAGAAAGAGACCAGGAAAGACCTACTGCTTGTGGAGTGTGTTCTGTGCCAGGATTAATCATGTTCCTTCACCCTCACAGTCTCTTCACTTGGCAGAGTTAACCATGCTCTGTTCCAGAAAACCAAAGACTAATTTATTCATAGATACACATAGCTAGTATAACCCAGGGTTGCTGGGTTTTGGGTATGCATTATTGTGAAAAGTCTCATTTGTGACTGCTGTACCATGAGTTCTTGTTTCAAAACTGTTCTAGGAAGAAGCTCAGCCCTGGAAAAAGACAAAAACTGATGGGAGCCAGAGAGGCCTGTGTTGGAGACGAACTTTGGCGAACTCCGCTCATTACCATACTAACCTCCAAGCTCAGGGAGAAGCTTGTTTTCCATTTTCTGTACATGTGATGTATGTAGAGGCAGGATTGGCGGCTGCGCCTGTGCTTCCTATATTCCACCTCTCCATACAATGACTCAGTTTACCAGCCAAATAAAAGAACCGTGTTCACCTTTGTTAGAGGAGGCGCTGTTTTAGGACCTGTCCCTGGTATCCTCCTTACTTGTGGCAAGTAGTAAAACCCCCTTGTTAAATCCTCCTTGGTTATCATTGGATGGTTACTTGCCAAGCAATTGAACCAACCTGTTGCCTGGGTAACACTAGTAAGTGAGAACGGGTGTGACTCTAATCTCCCAGACCACCTTCTTTTCCCTGCAGGCAGATTGCACGGTAAGGCCTGGGGTATAACACACACATGATTCTAGCACAAAGAAACAGAAATAGGGGCCTCATAAATTGATTTGTTGATTGTAATTCTGGTTTTTAGATGCATTTTAAATTCAATCCTTCTTTTCTTTTTCTTTTTTTTTTTTTGAAACAAGTCCTCATTCTGTTGCCCAGGCTAGAGTACAGTGGTGTGATCCATCACGGCTCACTGCAGCCTCCATGTCCTAAGCACAAGGCTTCCTCCTACCTCGGCCTCTCAACTAGCTGAGACCACAGCCATGCGCCACAATGCCTGGCTATTTTTGTTGTTGTTGTTATTCTTTATAGAACCAGGGGTCTCACTATGTTACCCAGGCTGGTCTCGAACTCCTGGTCTCATGCAATCCTTCTGCCACAGCCTCCCAAAGTGCTGAGATTACAGGTGTGAACGAATGCAGTCAAGTTAAATCTTTAGCAGTGATAGGAAAAGCTTCATGTACCTGATATACCCTCTGCCTAGGCAATTCTCAACTTCTGCTGCCATAGAAGGAGAACACTGGCATAAATAATTCACAAGAGCACTTCTTGTTAGATTTTCTCATACTTTAATTAGGACTACATATAGTTTCATAGAGAGGCATGAAATGGTCTGTCACATGCAGGCCTGGAGAGCTGATGACTCACTCTCTACACATGTGTTGGATTCAACATTATCAATCATTCTGTTGGTGTATTTTCACTGAAAAGAATTCTGCAGAGAATAGCAAGGAGCTGACTGAAATTACTTCATTTAGGCCACTCCTGGATGGCCCCATTACAATTGCTTTCATTTTGCAGAAGCACTAAACTTTCAAGAACAGTAGTGCTTTTGAACATCACACAGCGGCTCACGCCTATAATAACCTCACTTTGGGAGGCCAAAGCGGGTGGATCACCTTAGGTCAGGAGTTCAAGACCAGCCCGGCCAACATGGTGAAACCCCGTCTCTACTAAAAATACAAAACATTAGTGGGCGTGGGGGTGTGTAGCTGTAATCCCAGCTACTTGGGAGGCTGAGACAGGAGAATTGCTTGAACCCAGGAGGCAGAGGTTGCAGTGAGCAGATATCGTGCCATTGCACTTCAACCTGGGCAACAAGAGCAAAACTCTGTCTCAAAAAAAAAACCAGCAAAGCTGCAAAAACTGTTGACAATCAGCAAATCTCCTAGCAAGTTTACCATCATCCATTCTGATTCATTATAATCACTGAAATTTTAGGTCACACAAGAGCCATCTGTGAAACAGCCTCCCCAGATGATTAAAACACTCCTGTACAATGTACATTTACAAATTCAAAATTAATGAGAAAACATGTTTAAAAATTGACTATAGCTACCCAAGGGTTTAAAAACACTTTAAAATGCATAAAGAAATCACTTGGCTATGCAGTCCTCCTTAGTGACAAATAAGTTACATTACTTCTCAGAATTCCTCCTGCTGAATTAACTTTTCAATGTGTGGGTTATTATGGTTGCATACCAACATCATATCTCAAAAAATATTAATACAAATCATATCCCCCCCACTCCTGGCCTCCAGGCTAATTTTGCATCTTTCCAACTCAAGGTAAATGACCCAGAACAAAGCAAAGATATTCCTCATGAATGACTAGTGTAACAACAAATAAAATTGTATTCTGCCAGTGGAAATGGTTTATTGTCAGAAGTTTTTCTAGCACTCTTGGCTGCAAAGACCAAAGAGAGACTCTCTGTAGCATTTTCTGGACAATAGGGCCTTCCCTGTAGGCTGCTCTCCTTTGTTATTTGGATTTGGTCTCTCTCCTCTTTCATCCCACTTTGCCTTCAGTCAGGCATTTCATCTACCTGCCTTTGGCTCAGGAGTCTTTATTAGAAAGACAGAGCGATAGGAGAAGGCATAAGTATTGTCCTCCAAAAGCTTAGCTGATAAATAAGAGTAGCAAAGGCAGGATTTGAGTGGCGAACCAACTCTTGAGC